AAGAAAGGAAAAATGGTAAGGTACTGTAGTTTAAGGAGCTGATAAATATCAACCTGGCCTCTTCAAAGTGAGATAAAACAGGGAAAGGACTGGGGCTTGAGATGCTGTGGTGGCACATTTGATGAATAGGTTCAGGCATGAAAGAAACGGGCCAGGCTTAGAGATTTGCCAGGGGAACGGAAGCTGGGTAGGTCATTATCTCAGTTCTGGTATGAAAGACTGACTACAGAAGTCCTTATTGTGAGAGGGGCAACTGAGTCTGCATGGGATAGATGACTGTTTCTGTTTTTCTTCTTTATTTGGGGGGGGGTTCTCCCTGTGCATTCCAGGCTGGCCTCCAGATCTTGGCGATCTTCCTGCCTCAGCCTCCCGAGTGCTAGGGGCACAGGTGTGCACCATCACACCCTACTGAGACCGCTGTTTCTACTTGGGGCAGTCTCAGTCTGCTGGAACCCAAGGTGATAGTGAGAGAGGGCGATGGAGACCTCTGGGCCCTGCCAAATCCTGCAACTTCCTTACTTTTGTGTCCTCAGTCTTGACTTGCCTGCGTACAAAGCTGAGAAGGGATTTGACCCGAAGCTTCACCAAATGAAGGCCAACTTTGTTGCTTTTAGTTCCCTCTGGGCCTCTGTAGCCCCAAGTAAAGATTCACTGCTTTTACGAAAACCGCTTTTAAATCCCCAGTTGCCTCAGAAGAAAACAGAAATCATGCTCTTAATGAGTAACAAACATGCCAAGGGCCAGGCGTTTGTCCTCTGCCCCGGGGGATCTCTATGTCCCGGGAGCTGTCGCTGGAGCCCATCAGGAGCTGATAGGGCGCCCAGGAGGTGCCCCCACGCCCCGTGCCACCCTGCCAGACATGCAGTGATTAGCAAAGCCCCTTCACACGCTTAGCGAGCCAGTTGCTCACTGGGGATAAATGGTGCTTACGTTGATATCAAAGCTCCTAGAATTACATTTTAAACATCTTCCTGATAAAGGGCAGATGGTAAGAGCAAAGAATCCAGTATAAGCTGGGTGTGCTGGCACACAGCTGTGATCTCAGCGCTTGGGAGACTGAGGCAGGAGGATTATTGTGAGTTCGACGAGCCCAGCCTGGGCTACATGGTGAATTCCAGGTCAGTCTCAACTACACAGTGAGACCCAGTCTCAAAAAAAGCAAAAAAAAAAAAAAAAAAAAAAAAAAAAAAAAAAATCCAGTATAAGCTGGGCATGCTGGCACACAGCTGTGATCCCAGCACTAGGGAGGCTGAGGCAAGAGGATTGTGTGTTCTAGACCAGTCTGGACTACAGCCAGACTACATAACAAGACCTTGTTTAAAAAAAAAAAAAAAAAAAGCCCATATGAACATTCTTGTTTCCATGTCTTTTGGGGGTGTTGTTTTGTCTTTTATTTCCCCCAGTACTGGGGATTGAACCCAGGACCTCCATAATGGGCTACATCCCTAGCCCTTTTTTATATTTTGAGACAGGATCTGGCTAAGTTGCTCAGGCTGGGCTCACATTTGAGATCCTCCTGTCTCAGCCTCAGAGCCCTGGGAAGACAGGTGTGCACCTCTACACCCCACTGTGTGGTTTCCATGGCCACCTCCACACACCTCAGTGGGCCTTCGGGGTAGAACTGCTCCTGAGTGAGATCAGGGCCACCCCTGGCAATTGGCAGCCTGGCTCTCTGCCTATGACCATCTCTCATCCTCGCCCTAGCAAGGAGTGCCCCGTTTTCATTACCCTGCATTTGTACAAGCCTTTTTGACATCTGGAAACCCTCCTGATGTTTCCTCACTGCAGAAATCATTCTTCAAATTTGGTTTATTTTATCATGACAGCAAAAGCTTTTATTTTTCCACCATTGCAGTGACGTGCTGAGTATCGAATGCTCCTTATTTTCTCTGCAAGAAACACTTAACCTTCTGTATATGATCAAATGTTAAAAAGGGTTTGGATCAAATTGCCAAAGGGATTGTAGTGAGGGTCCATTTACTTACTGAGTCGATATATTTATTGATCAAATAAATACTTATTGGGTTCCTACTATTTGCAGTGCCCTGAGTCAAGCAGCCTAGTGGACATAGGAGTGAGGTGGAGGAGGTAGAAACCCTGTGTTTGTTGAGACAGGATCTCCCTATGTATTTCAGACTGGCCTTGAACTCACTGTGTAGTCCACTCTGGCCTCAGTCCTCCTGCCTCAGCCTCTCCAGTGCTCGGCATCTCAAAGGTTACCTGGGGAAACCCCTACATGAACCAGGTGAGAGAGGAAAGCCCGCACTGCCGGGAACACAAGCCAAGTCCAGAAAAAGTCCTCAATCAAACCTAGTCTCCTCTAGCCTGCAGGCTAGCTGAGACGGCGCGGAATTCTAAATGGACAGCTTCACATACGGCCAGGTCAAAATATATTTATATTAGGTGCAATCATTAAAATAGCTTATGAGCTATTATCTTGGAGAGAAGAATTTTGTTAAAAAAAAAAAACAAAAACAGCTTCAATAAAGCATTTCATTCCATAAGGCTTTTCCCTCACTTTGCGTCCGATGGCATTTTCGAGGTTTGGGGGCTTTTGCGTCCATTGCCCTCGGGCTCTTCGAGCTGCTCCGCAGCCCCGAGATGCCCCTTCTGCTCAGGCTAAACTGCAGTGGAGCAAAATCACCTGGAATCATCGGACTACAAGGGAGATTCTTCCTGGCTTCCACTCCCGGACTTTGACCCTGGCGGAAGCACCCTGCACGGACCCCACAGCCCGGGGCCTTCGGCTCCCACCGGCTCCCTCTGGTGGCTCTCGGCGGTACTGATGCTGCCCGCGAAGATTCGGTCCCGGGGCCAAGGTGTCAAAACCGCCTGCGTGAAGGCGGCTGCTGTCTCCGCTGTCTTTCTGAGATCTAATTTTCAAAGTGTGGTTTATGGAAGCATTGTCTCGAATCCCTCATCCACACCCACCCATTGCCTTTTGTTTCTGTGAACCGAACCCAGGGCCTTTGCACTGAGCTGCATGCAACCCTTCGCTAAAATTTTATTTTCAGTTTTGAAACGGGCTCACTATCTCACTACGTTGTCCAGGCTGCACCTGTACTCTTGCCTCAGCCTGAGTGCTGGGATTATAGGCCTGTGCTACCATGCGTGGCACCAGTCACTTCTCAACCACTAAGGCTCCACACTGCTTCATGGGCACCCCTACTGTTTAAGTCACCAAAGACCTCCTCAGGGGCTTAGCCGGGACATAGTCACTGAACAAGTATTTATTGAGTGCCAACACACTTGTTTTAGGTGCTGGGAAAACATTCGGTCATAAAATGATTAAAGCCAGCTGGGTGTGGTGGCCACACCTATAGCCCTAGGTATTCAGGAGACTGAGGCGGGAGGGTCACAAGTTCAAGGCTAGTCTGAGCAATTTAGTGAGACCTGAAAAGGCTGAGGATGTAGCTCTGGGGTAGAGTACTTGTCTTGCATGTGTGAGGATGGGTACATTCTCTGGTACTGGGGGGGAGGGATAAAGGAGAATATGCTGGGTATGGTAGCGCACACCTGTAATCCCAGCACTCGGAAAACTGAGGCGGGAGGGTGACTGTGAGTTTGAGGCCAGCCTGGGCTACACAGTGAATTCAAGGTCAGCCTGAACTACATAGTGAGACCCTGTCTTAGAACAACCAAAAAAAGAAAAAGAAAGAAAATAGGTAAATGGATAAGTTAAGTCCTTGTCCCAAATGGGCCTTACAGTCTTGCATTCTCATAGGGGAGGAGAGACCAGGTAGATTTGCTTGCTTTTTTATTGTCCTTATTTCATCCCAGTCACCCAAGACAGAAATCTGGAAGACCTTATATGTCATTCTCTCTCAGTCGGTCACCCAGACACCATTTGTCTCAAATTCATCCCTAACCTACCCTCCTCTATCCTGTACATCCACAGCTTTCCTTAGTTTGTCCACGATGGATATTCTTACCTCAGGGAAACTGGCCACTGGTACAAACCAGGGCTTCTCCTTTAGAGTGTGAGTCTCGGGCCTCTCCCAGCCTGCTGCTGAGGACCCTAAATGTCCTCCCCAGCCAGTGCTGCCCCCTCTGCCACAGCTGCTACAGTGGGGCTCCTTCCCAGGCCTCAGCAGGGGTGTGAGGCACAGACAGCGCTTGTCTAACATGTGACGGGCCCTGGGTTCGAGTCCCACCATCTTACACACACACAATTAAAAATACATCAGGCTGGGGATTTAGCTCAGTAGTTCTGCCACCTGCCTTGCATGTGCAAGGTCCTGAGTTCAATCTCTGGTACCAGAAAATAAATAAATAAATAAAATTTAAGAAATACATCAACACAAGCGGGTCAGTCTTCTGGTCTTCCTGTTGCTGAGGCCTGCACTGCAGTAAAGCCCTGCTTTCCTGTCCAGCCTGTCTCATCCTGCACCCCAGTCTGCCTACAGACCAGCACTTGTATTTGGCTTCTCCTCCTCCTCTTCCTCCTCCTTCTTTTGTAGTGCAGGGGATTGAACCTAGGGCCTTCTCAGTGAGCTACATCTCCAGCCTTTTTTTAAAAAAAAATCATTATTACTTTTTAAATTTGAAACTGAATTCAATCTTTTTAAGGTGTCCAGGCTGAGCTCAAACTTGTGTTCCTCCTGCCTCAGCCTCCCACAGGGCTGGGCATTCAGGTTTGCACTACTATGGCGTTTGGCGCTCCCTTCGCAGGCCAGGGCTGGTCGGATGCCTTTTCCATGGGCTGCCAGAGGGATGTGCATGGATCTGTCTCCATTTGGGGCCCACTGCGCCTGCACCACTGGGCATGGTCCGCAAAAATTGCACTTACTGCATTCTTGGTTACCTGCATCCTCGTTAAGGAGAGAGACAGACAGACAGACAAACTGACAGACCACCCCTCCCACCACGGTGGAGGATAAGAAATTCCTAACTTAGTGACTCAGCCAGTTGGGCCACCTGCCCACCCCAAGTTCTCCTGCACAGCTTTCTGTAAATCCAAACAGTATCCAAGCCTTCAAAATGTTTTCTGTCCTTTACAGGTGCCAAGCCCTCGAAGCATATCACTGCGTCGTCCTGTGAGGCCCTCGCTATCCCGCCCCACGCTGGTAGTGACACACAGGTCTGGCTCCATGATGGTCCCTCTGAGGATGTCCCGGGACCTCAGAGGAGTGGCCAGTAAGAAAGGTCCTCCAGGAGCGATCCCTGCGCTGTCCTCCAGCTGTCCTCACGCCATCTTCACTCCAACCCTGACTCTGTCCCTGTGACACCTTCATGTGGCTAAGTTTTACCCTTCCTCCACCCCTTCCCTGCCCCTTACCAGCCAAAGCGCAGTTTATGGTTGAATACAACCCCCCCAAATGGCAGATGAAGAGGTGTGGTGCTGCACACCTGTAATCCCAGACCTTGGGAGGCTGAGGCAGGAGGATCACTGAAGGTTTGAGACCAGCCTGGGCTACATGGTGAGTTCAAGGCCAATTTGAACAACACAGCAAGACCCTGTCTCAAAAAAAGAAAGGAAGAAAGAAAGAATGAACATGCGAATGAAAGTCAGGCGCTAAGTGCCTAAAGTGATTGCTGATTACTCTGAGACCATAAAATACCTTTCTTTTCTCACCTTACCCTGCTACCCAGATCTATGAAAAGAAAGGAGAAAAAAATTGAAACACGCTAACTATTAAGGTATTGATGAAGTTCCAATTGTTTTATCAGCATAAAATGTAAAACTCTGCTCCATCTTGTATGGATACCACAGGAAGGTGAGTCAGTTTCCTTGGAGTATATTTTCGTGTATAGTGGACCTCAAGTTATGACCAGACTGACATACAGACAACTTGGGTTGCAACTGGAATTTTAGTTTGAATTTATGACGAAAGTCTTAAGTCATGACTTGAATGCCTGCCGCTTGTGCTTCCAGATGGTCTCAGATACAGATTTAACCTTGAGCTCTGGAAGGAACACGACAGCATCCTTTCCTGTGTGGGGTTAATGAGAAATCCTAGGCCAGTGTCTCTCTAAGGACACTGAGCTCCACCTGTTTACAGGAGAGAGAGAGTCTGAAGGCTGTGGAGAACAGCCTGAGCTGTCACTTGACCAACTTGAGTTATAGCCAGCCCTTGGGAGCGAGTTGAGTTTGTAAGTCAAGGGTCTACTGCATTTGACTTTTGGTGGCAATGGCTACATCTCTTCCCAAACAGCTGGCATAGCTGCTCATATTATTTTCATTTTGTTTTGTTTTTTGGTGGGGTGGTTTTGAGACAGGGTCTCACTGTGTAGTTCAGACTGCTCTGGAACTCACTGTGTATCCCAGACTGGTCTCAAACTCACAGCAATCCTTCTGCCTCAGCCTCCCAAGTCCTGGCATTACAGATGTGCACCACCATGCCCCACTTATTTTCTTAATGATAGCAAACATTTAAAAAAAATTAAAAGTGTTTATAGTTTCTTTTGGGGGGGGGTTTGAGACAGGGTCTGACTGCATAGTTGAGACTGACCTGGAATTCACTATGTAGCCCAGGCTGGTCTCGAACTCAGAGCCATCCTCCTGTCTCAGCCTCCCAAGTGCTGGGATTACAGGCATGCACCACCACATCCAGCTTGTCTTTTTTTTTTTTTTTAATAAATTTTATTTTTATTCTTGGTTTGGCCTTGTGTTTCTTTTCGTTTGTTTGTTTTGGTGCCAGGGATCGAACTCAGGACATTACACTTTTGAGGCAGGCACAGTGCCACTGGGATAAATCCTCAGGCTTGTTTATTTTATTTTTTTTATTTTTGGTACCAGGGATCGAACTCTGGTCCTTGTGCTTTCAAGCAAGGCGGTGGAACAACTGAGCTAAATCCTCGGCCCTTGTTTGTTTATTCCTATTCCATCCCACCCCTCAAACCCTCTCCCCTCCCTATATACAGAAGCTTTTATAGTTTTTAGGACAATAATGCTGATCATAAATAGTTCAAATAATAAAAAACATGGGGGGGCTCGGTGTGATGATGCACACCAGTAATCCCAGCATTTAGGAGGCTCAGGCAGGAGGATTGCCATGAGTTTGAGACCAGCCTGGGCTACAAAGTGAGACCCTGTCTCAAAAGCAAAATAACAACAACAAAAAACATGGGGGAAAATCTAAAAATCCTATTTCTAGGCACTAACGAGCATTCTTACATTCATCACACATTTCTCCAATCTGTAAACAATTAGTGTGTGTAAGTGCATATAGAGTGCATGCACACCACGTGTGTAGAGTGTATCACACACAGTGTATATACGTGTGACACCATGTGTACACATATGTAAAGGGTGAATGTTTACATTTTCAAACATCATTATGATAATTCGCCCCATGCCGTTCATCCCCCAGAACACTCCCCTCTGCTCAGACACACTTAGGCCATCTTTCCCACCACTCGGAGCAGTTCTGGAAGTCCCTCATCATGAGGCAAAGCGCTGCAGCTGTGGCTGCCAAGTCAGCAGCGGAAAGGCAGGCTGGGGAAGCCCACTGCACGCCCTCACCCACCTTGTCTCTGGATCCCGAGGACAAAGCCAAAATGACCACGAAAGGTCAACATTCTGAACCAATCTGGGACAGCAAGGCAGCGGGACCGCACGACTAAAGACGAAGAAACGCCCCAGAACTGCTTCAGAAAGTGACAGGAACCATGGGCTAAGTGTATTCGAAGAGACTGAGTGTATTCGGAGGGGGATTCGTGGCAATGCATCTTTTATAAAAAGTAATTTAAAAAAATCTGAAGACGGGGGTCGGGTAGGTAGCTCAGTGGTACTGCTACCTGCCTCACAAGTGCAAGGTCCTGAATTCGATCTCTGGGACCAAAAACAAAAAAAAATCTGAACACACACCGAATTTTCTGTGTCAAATACACAGTATATGTATGCTGTGCATGTATATATGTTAGTTTTACCTGAGTGGGACTCTAAACAAGCTCACCTGTGACACAGAAGACATCTGTCCATGTGATGTCTAAATATATCTTTATTTTTACTGGCTTTAGAGTTCTTTCAGAGAGAAATGTAATGTAATGAACCGATTTTCTGTCGAAGGGCTTTCTGCCCTGTGTAATTACCTCTGTGGGGGAAATTCCCTGGCGTCGGACTCCAGGGGTAACCGGCACACACACCTTCCCTTCTAAGACCTGCCGCATTGCCTTTGCGAAGCAGATCACCCAGGTGACAACACTCAACAGTGTGGCTTGCACACAGCAGAGGCCGGTGTGACAGTGGAGGAGCCCGTGACAGGGGACCGGGCCCCTACGATCTTGGTACCCAGCCTCCGGAATTGGGCTTCCTCTCCCTGGTGCCAGAGGCTGCTTAGATCCTAGCCACGGAGTTGACAGCCCAGACAGCGGGGAAGGGGAAGGAACAAATGAGGGTCCGACTGCCGAGGGCTCTCCCGTGCCGCGGCGTCCCATTAGAGCCGGGTGCTGTGTTTTGCTGTAGGTCTAAAGTGCCACCCCCACCCCGCGGGGGATTCTCACGTGTTTAGGAGGTGACTGGATCATGGGGTGCACTTTACAGTAGAAAAGTGTGTTCTACCCGGGTCCTCCCTTCTCCCTTCTGGCTGCCACAGGGTGAAGAGCTGCGCTCCTCCGCCCTTCCACCGGGTAGATCCTGCCGCCTGCCCACCGTGGACGGAATTCCCTAAAAACCATCACCCAAAACAGTCCTCTCTGCCTTTAAATTGCATTGGCTGGAAAATTGTGTCCAGTGCTGGGAAGGCCGCCTAATCCACGTGGCTACTTGTAGCAGCAGGGGCAGCGTTCCTACCCTGAAACCCACACACCGACCAAAAGTTGGGTCATCTTTCACTACGGAAGAGGGAAAACGAATACTGGGGGAAACGAATGGTTTCTGCCACAGGACGGATGAACCAGTTTATGTTCCTGCGGGCACCTTCCAAGAGAAACCTGTCCCCAAGCCTAGCACTGCTTGATCAGGCTGCTCTGGCTACAAACGCATTTCAGTCCTTACAAGGTGAGAACTGTCTTCAAATGACGGATGTAATAGCTTAGTTTACCAAAACGATTCAATGATGGGCATCCCTTTAGCCCGAGCAAACAGAAAATGAAGATATGGGAACAAAGGTCCCTGTGCCTTGGACGTTTTTTATTTTTCAGTGCCAGAGAGGAGCGTGCAGGCCAGTGCTTCACCACTGAGCAGCAGTCCCCACGCGGCCCTGCCCTCTGCAGTGGGAAGGCTCTGTCCTCCGCCCTCTTCTCTCCACAGGGTAAATCTCAACCACACGGCTTCACACTGAGCCGAAATCTGTCTTTTCACTCGTGATCTCCAACTCGGCCGCTCGTGATGTACGTCTGCCTGTGTAAGCCGCAGGTAACCCGTGTACAACTACAAGAAACAGACCCTGTCGCCTCCCTTACAAACCCCTCCGATCTCTCCCTGCCCTCGTCTTTCGGTGGCGGCAGGTGAGTCATTCCAGACTCACCCCTCTGTCCTCACAAAATATCGCCCAAGCCTGAACCCTATGGGTTTCACTTCCTTCACGTCACCGGATGCCGCTTTCATCTCCGCAGTGCTCTACAGGAAGGGGCGAGCTAAATGCTGATTCACGATCTTTCCTCTTCCCTCCACGGCCAAACTCCTCCAGGTACAGTGCAAGGCTGGACAGCGACCCGGCCCCTTCTCCTGCCCCATCTGGTGCTGGCCCCTGACTCTGGCCCACATCTGAGCCTGCCACCTACAAGCATTCCCACAACCATGGGGTGTCACAGTTCAGTCACTGTGGACACCGATTCCTCCTGCCTGGAACTGTGGCCTGCTCCCCACCTCTAGCTCTGGAAAAAAAATTTTTTTTTAAAGATTCAGGTCCTTTCGTCACATCCTGCCATAAACCTTCTTTGGCTCACTTCTTCCACTGGTGCCATTTCCTTCAAACTATTACAGCAAGTAGAACCGGCATTTATTAACCTAGCAACTATTTATTGAATTTACACTGCGCTCACCATTGGGCCGAGCTGGAGTCATGACCAGGTATGAGGTGGACATAGGTCTGAGGTGGGTCCACAGCTCTCAGTTTATGTCACTAATGGCTAATTTCCTTCCGTCGTCTCCCTTGCTAGAAATTCTGACTTCCCTACCAGTCTCAAAGAG